AAATTATTTTTATGCATTTTCTTTTTAATATCAAACTTAACAAAAAAAGAAAATATTAAAAAAGTTATGCAGGGCGGGTTCATGGGGGCGGGGTGGGTTGAAAATGAAAAAAGTTGTTATGCGGGGCGGGGCAGATTAAAAATTATGCTGGCTAAACTCAACCCGCCCCACCCCCGCCCCATTGCCATCCCTACTAGTGAGGTTGATTATTTTTTCTCGACAATTTTTTTCTTGTAATTGTAATAAATGATTACTAGTGGAAAGAAGATGAAGACAACGGGTGGAGATTTTAGCATTATTAGATTGAAAGGTGACTAATAGGTTAGCTTAGATAGACAACAATGGTATATTATCGGCGCCGATGAAAGGAATGAGATTTGAGAATTAAAGGGGTGGTGATGGTTTACTGACGGTTGAAGCATAGCCCATTAGAAATGAAAGTAAGGTTCGACGGAGAAGAAGAAGAAGAAGAAGAAGAAGAAGAAGAAGAAGAAGAAGAGTAGAGGCAATGATGTACTGGTTACTGAGGCACAATGAAAAGGGAAATAAGTTCGTCGGAAAAAAGAAGAAGAGGAAGGGTGGAGTGGGGTGGGGGTGGGTTAATTTAAACTTTTTTTTTTGTTTTCTTAAAATTCCTTTGGTATTATTTGAATAGAGTTTATAAAAAAATTAATTCAATTGCCCCATGTCATCATTGCATTGGTCTATTTTCTATGTATATACGTTTGAGATGCACGCATGTTTGTATTTTTGTTAATTATCATTTTGTGTCAAATAGGTATAAATTTGTTAAGATTTAAGTGTCTGATATTGGAATCAAATGGACTCCTTAACTCCTATTAGTAGTAATTATTAAAGTCAAGATTTAAACCTTTTTTAGAAATTGATTTAGGAATAAACAAAAGGGTAATACAGAAAAATATGGTTCAAATTTTGTACTTAATATGTGTGCATTACCTTAGAAATTTAGTTAATATGGAATAGAGGGAGTATCTTATAAGAGTGAGTTCAAAGTGTCAAAGTGGGCAGCAGGTCAACATGCCTTCTTTGGCACTTCAAGGGCATTTCCGTAATCTTTTTGACAGTTTTTCTACTTTAGTTTGTTTGTCTTATTTTTTAGTTTTTTATATATTTAAAAATTGTGTATAAATATTGAAAATCATAATAACTAACAACTTAAAATATTTTTAAAAACATAAAAAAATACTCTTGAAATTAATTTATCAACGCCACATAAAATGGGACAAAAAATAACATGATTATTTGAAAACTGCGTAAAAAGTATTGTAAATCTCAATAATTAAGAACTTGATTTTTTTTAAAAACATATAAAAAAAATTGATCTGTAATGACTTGTTAGGTCATTTTGAGCATTAGTCCTCTCTCTTTCATAAAAAGATTCCGTAAATTTTAAATGAGAATTTTAAACTATTAGCTTAACTACGGTAAATTAATTGACGGATATTCTTTTAAATAATTAATTTAGTTGGTGGGTAAAATCCATTATTTTTTTAATACTCTATACCACTTGACCCATGTGTTCAATAAGTTAGTGAGATTATCATTTTTAGTACATTTTTGTTTTAGAAAAGAAAATAAAGGAAGGAAGAAGTGTGTGTTTGGTATGAAGGAAAATGTCTTCTTGGAAAACAAGTAGGTTTCTAACTTATTTTCTCATGTTTGGTTAGTGAATAGAAAATATTTCTTAATGTTTGGTTGGTAAAATGAAAAATATTTTTTAGAAAATAACTTTTATTTTTTGCTTGAGACTAAAAAATGTTCTTTAGGAAAACAATTTCTTATCTGAAAATCAACCCCAATAATTAATCTGGTACCTGACTCCGACACCAAAACTTGGATATGATCCAGATGACCGTTCCAAAATCTGACCCTGAGATCTGACCCAAGACCTAACCCTGACTTTTGACCCAAAACCTGAGCCAGGATTTTTGTTTTCCTAAAACAATTTTTTTTTAAAAAAAATTAACTAGGTCGTGGGAGGGGTGGGGGTAGGGGTGAGGATGCATAAAAATGAAATTATTTTAAAATTTGAAATACTTTATTTTTTAAAAAAAATTATGGGGGTGGCACGGGAGGGGAGGGGGGTTGGGGCTAAGGGGGGTGCTGTAAAAAATGAAAAAAAAATTGAAATATTTCCCAAAAACAATTTTTTTTTTATGGGAATGGCTTGGGTGCGGGTAGTAGGGGTGGGGTAGGGGTAGCTAGGGAGGTGTCTGGGTGTAAGGGGTGGCGTAAACATGAAAAAAAATTGAAATTTGAAATATTTTCCAAAAGAATTTTTTTTAAAAAAAAAAATTGACGGGAATGACCTGGATGGCGGGCTGGGATGGAGGTGGCATAAAAATGAAATTTTTTAGAATTTGAAATATTTTTCAAAAAATAACTTTTTAAAAAAAAATATTGATGGGGTTGGCGGGGGAAGGGGGTGGCATAAAAAATATTAAATTTGAAATATTTTTTAAAAGCAATTTTTTGGGAGTGGGAGGTGGGGGTAGGATTAGGGGTGGAAGGGTTTGAGTGGGGTAAAAAAATCTTAAAATTTGAAACATTTTACAAAAATAATTTTTAACTTTTTTTTTGCTTTTTGTTTGAGGGGTGGGGGGAGGGGGAAATGTTTTCCTCCATACAAACAAACCCGAAATTACATGTGCAGAGTAGGGTTTTCGTTCTTTGGTTTTTTCTTCTTTCCCTCCTTTAGTGTGGAGTAGTGTCTTTTTATAGATGTTCAGAAATAATAGTGGCCAAACGTGGAAGAATACTAGTGGTCAAACGTGGCCGACGCACTAAGATAGTGGGATAAAAAGTAGTGGCCTAAACTTGGCCAACACCTTTGAAGATCATATATTTGGGCCCCATCGTCACATGCATTATTATCACTTATTGACACGGACTTTGACGCGTGCTTATCAGTTTTTTCCTCCTTAGAGGATAGTGATAAAGTAAGCACTCACATGACAAATGTGGACATACCCATATGACACACTTTTATTCCTACTTTAGTTTATTGTCTTTGCCTTGTTTTGTCTTGTTCGTCTTCAGGTATCAGTTCGTCTTCAGGTATCAAGATTGTGCAGAGCTATGGAATCAAAACTCATTCCTGAATCATCATCTTCATTAGGATCTTGAGCATCTTGATAATATGAATGTTCTCCATAGTCTTCTCCTCCGGAACTTAGGAATCTGGTTATATTATTACCAGAAGTGTCTCTCCTTGAGCTTGTATTAGTTCTGTTTCGTTCTGTATTTATACGTTCTATATCTGGTACCAGTCTGTCTCCACTTAGATCTGGATTTTGTGTAGTAATTACATGTTTATCCTATCTTTATTGGAAAAACTTTTCTAAAGTCTTTTTTATTATGCTCTCTATTTTATCATATTTTTTCTTTTTATGGAGCATAGTTTTCTTTGTTATTGTCTCTACCTGAGTAAATGATCTCGGTAACCTTCGTCTTGATGAAGAACCTTCATCATCACTTTTTAGCAAAGTGACAGCCATAAACGGGTTTGAGGTGTCTTTACCGGCTACCGTTTGAATCGGACTAGCTGTATCTTTATTATCTGATATATATATATATATATATATAGATAAAGATGCATATGAATTGTGTTTCTGATTTCTGGGAGTGGCAACAATTTTTTGGGGGTTGGGGAGACAGTTCTGTATTGGGTAAGAATGGATTAGATGAACAGAGGGTATAGAATTAATAAATTGATAATTTTGAATTTGTAGTTTTTGCAGCGATTAACGTATCATCTTACATTTTGCGTTGACATTTCCTTCTTTTCCAGTTCATTCTTATAATTATCACATTGTGATTGAAGTTAGGCATATTGAGACACCTAATTAATCATTATGGGGTCGTTTGGTACAAAAATGAGTAATGCAGGGATTAGTAACGCAGGGATTAATAATGCAGGGATTAGTAATGCAGGGATTAGCAATGCAGGGATTATTTTTTATCCAGTGTTTGGTTTATTGCTTATTCAAATCTTGTGTTTGGCTTAGAACTCTTAAAAAAGAACTTTTTTCCAATTTTACCCTTGAATTATTATGTTATCTATTTCATGTAATTACCATATTTATTACGTTTAAAACTTGAATACGAAGTGCTTAACAAATTTAATTCACTTGAGAAAGTCTCAAGTCATAAACAAGAAGACGTTATTTTAAGTACCCCGACCAAGGCGTACCTCCCTCCTCTCTTAAGAAAACAAGAAAATATAAAATAAAACTAATGTTCAAGTAGTGTGGACAGCAGCAGAAGTTTCTAATGTTAAAAGAAATATAGTTTGATCACAGCTTCATATAAAGTTAGTAAAATTAAGCAACATGAGCAAGCCACCTAAAGCTTTCCTGCTACATAGTCTCTATCCCAAATATTGAACATTGTAAAACTTCAAACATTTTCTTTGCCAATCTATCATAGACAATGCTGCATAATCCAAAGACGAACCCCTTTATTGCAGGTTTGAGGTTTCTTTCAACTGTTTCAAGCGAATCCAAAGTCTAGTTTTGGCTGCACATCAAAGTGCCAGTTTTGTCCGAAAGGACTGTATGAACCTACCCCAACTCCTCATTTAAGTTCCTGTCTCATCATCGTACATACTGGTATCCTGATTTATGAATGATGCATGTAGGACTTCCGCGACTTCAATAAAGATATAGAGCGATATGGAAATTAAATAACCACACAAAATAAGTGCAGTGAGCAAATACTGAAGGCCAGACAACTCAGTCTCACTTATATCAGCTTGACTTTGAAGTGAAGCACAACAAAGGAAAAGAAGCAAAAGAAAGAATATACATATCGAAAATCCATTCATTTCACATTTCAGTATATACTAAGAAAAGGAGAAGCGAGAATCATGTACATCAATTGACAAAAGCAAGCCAAATAAACACATTTACATACATCATTTGAGTTTATCACAAGTGACACCACATTCAAGTTTTTCCATAGATTCTAGTTACACAAAAGCTATGGTCCTCGTGTCCGTCTTACGCCAATCATTTTCAATATAGGACATAATTTGAGGTATCAGAAAGTGACACTACACTCAAATATTTAAAGGTCTTCAATTAAGCAAAACTAGCAAAATGAACTTTCCACTTATCTTGCAGTCTACCATACTTTAAAGTTTATCATTGATGATCATAAACATCATAGTTTGACGCTCAAGTTCACCCATGCGTATAAATAATTCCATCTTTTTGACGTCATCACAAAGAACCATTGTTGCTTTGATGCGTTGCTCTGTGGAGTACAAGTCAAATATAGGGAATTCAATGATGGAATAAATTTGATCACGAAGATCAGATTGGTCACGATTTCCAATCTTGTCAATTAAGGAACCCATTCGTTTGTCTTGACTGTCAGTAAAGTTTTTTATAACCTCAACCATACCCTTAAGAAATATCTCAGAATCATTCTCCAGGATCTTTTTTCTTTTCTTGCATTTCTCCTTTTCATTGACATTAGACGACCTTTTGGTATACTCACCTTGTTTATTGGTTTGTTGAGATCCAGCTTCTTCAGGTTCAAATGCTCCAGCATTTTCATTTTGAGATGCTTCAGGAAATGTAGTAGCTCCAGTAGCATTTCCAGCTTCTCCCGTAGTCACATTAGGTCTATGACTAGAACCAACTTCTTCATCGCCATCAAGATCAATAGGAAATCCCAAACTCATATCGTTAAACAGTACTGAGGATTGACTCATTTGAATTTCCTCAACAGCATCTACTGGGCCTTCTGCAAACTCCCCTGTTGCTCTATCCTTGCCAAAGATTTCCTCCTAATCCACAAACATCGGCCATTTTTTCTTATTCATGTTTTTGGCATTTGGATCAACCTAGAAAATAATCACAAAATAAAACAAAGTGATATAATATTACTCAGTTAATAACTCTTTCAGAGAACACATATATAAATACATAACTATAATCATGAACAACTAAAAAGCTCTCTAAGTTGTGCAATCGGTATCTTTGAAATCTAAATTTATTGGACATAACTTTTCAGTATTCAAGCTAAAAGACTTATTAATGCTCACTGTAGCAGCTATGTTTGGGTTGACACTAATTCATATCGAGAAAGGCTTTGGTGGCCCGGGACAGGGTGTGCACTCCCAAAACAATAGTTGACTTGAACCTTACCAACATTCAACTCTGGAACAAGACAAATATAGACGAGATTGGTGGGTAGTTATCCCCTATCAATGTTTATAGTTGAGGGCAAATCGAGGATTACCCGCAACCTTTGTCCATAAATTTAGAACACAAGGAGTGTAAAGTCTGAAACAAGATCATTCATTTGTTTATCCGTGAGAACACGAGGCTAGTATGATGGATATTATTGAAGTGGATGCAGAAGCACGCTTACTTTTCTAGTGATAGTCGTGGACAGTCCACATGAAACATATTCAACAAATTCACTCCCTAGTGAAGAAGTGCAGATCTAAACAATTAAAAGCATCAGGCAAATAGTGTAAAAAATTATAATAACTTTAATAAAGTATTAATTACCTTTAGGAAGTCATCCCAAAATTTGGGATCATCAACTATTATAGCTCCATCACCGTATTGAAATCCCAATCCACTTCGACTCTTTAGCATAGTTATACTTGCATAGCATCTCTTCCAATATCTTATTCTAGATAAGACATGTGGTTCACCTTTCAATCCGTTGTTAGGATGATGTTCACATAAATAACATTCTAATTCCTTTAGGTATCCTGGCTTGAAAGTTCCATTATCACCTCTCTAACCATTAACACATAACTTTTTTAATCCATCTATAAGAGTTCGTTCTTCTGCTGCAGTCCATGTCCTTCTAGTCAAAGGAGTTGAATTTCTTGATCTTTTTGATGCGTGGGAAGATGTTTGACTGCTCATTTTGCCTTTATATTCTTGTGGAATAGATTATAAAAATAAATAGAAAGAAAATTATAATGATAATAACAATAATGCACACATTAAATAGTTGAACAAATCTATAACCTTGTCATGAACTTAAGAACTGATTCTAGAAACACTTTATATAATAAAAAAAAAATGTAGGAGAAACTGATATATTCAGGAAGTGGTTGGCTCTCCAGATTAGTAGCTTAAAAGATATTGCATTCAACAGGTGGTCGTGCAAATATTCACAAGTGGAATTATGTCGAGAAACTGACTAGCTTCATGTGGATACATTGTCTACAATACATAGGTAAATCCCTTTCTCTATATCCTTTTATGTAGACGTTATCAATTTGTTCCTTTCTCTAATGACCATCTTCATGGTTGCTGGAAATCAAATATAGGAAGAGCAATACTAATTCCTTTCTCTCTATATGCATATTTATCATTTAGTTTTCTTTTCCTCTATTAGCTTTCAAAAATTATAATCTGCACTAGTGTTGCAGGGTTCTTTTAGCTTTAGGAGATTGGAGTTGTAAAATAAAGTCAAATTTTACTAGTAGAGGAAGTGATGAAGAGTAATAATTATAACATATTAAGAAAACCACAAATTTCATAATAACATATGCCAAAAGTTACAAAAAGGATTCAAGACTCCCAATTAACTTGTATAAGATCACTAGATCACTGAAACAGAGGAGAGATTCTAACTTTTGATATAAGGTTGACCTTAAAAGCCCAAGTTAGCTAAATTCATCGCAAAAAAAAAAACTTAACATGTCATCACTGATTAGATCTTGCATTCCACATTGATTGAGCCAACTCATCCCTCCAAGTGGTCCACTCTTCAGACGATTCAACAACATCAATATGTTCAGGTTGATTCTCAACTTGTTCTTCCATATCCATGTCTAAAGGATCCACATCCATCTCTCTACGGATATAGTTGTGAATCAAACAACAAGCACTTATAATTCTGTTATGAACTTTAATAGAGTACCACGAAGAGCTCCTAAGAATTCCCCAACGCCCTTTCAAGAGACCAAACGCCCTTTCGATAACATTACGAGCCCTAGCATGCTTCATATTAAAAAGTTCTTCTCGACATCGAGGTGGGGGGTTGTCACCTTGCCAATCCCTTAACCAATATCTATACCCTCGGTAAGGTGAAAGAAAACCTTTTCCATTTGTATATCCTCCATCACATAAATAATAATTACCTATAATATAAACATAAAATTTAGTTACCTTTTTATTCTTTTCATGTACAGTTACCTTCTCAAAAAAATAAATACATCATTCTTTTTGTGTTCTTATATGCATATATACATGGCATACCCTCAGGAATTTTTAAACCATTGCGCCGCACTACAGCGTCTCGTAATACACGACCATCAGCAGTTGATCCTTCCCAACCAGGTAACACATAAGTAAAATTGAGATTTCTATCACAAACTCCCAATACATTAGTAGTTATATCTCCCTTCCTTGTCCTGTATCTTGGTTTGTACTCAGATGGAACTCTAATGTGAATATAAGTACCATCTAGTGCACCTAAACAACCCTATAAAAAATATAGAGTTATCTCGCACTAAAACGAAGTCTTAGTAAAATTACATTATTTAGTCTTATACAAATGCTAAATTAAAAATCTCACCTACCTTAAACCATTTCCATCGATCTTCAATCTCATCTTCAAGGATCGGTTTAGGATTGACAAGGAACAATGAAGTTAGTTTGAGTATAGCTCTCAAGCATTCATTAAAAGCTTGACTTACGCTCCATCCAGATCTAATATAATCGACCTTGATAGATCTATTCTTCTCGTGATGAGCCAAGATGTTTAAGAACATTGCTAGCTTTTCACTACTTGACATATATTTACCATCAGTCAAACCTCCGACATCCTTAGTTAATAGAACTAAATTATGAAAGGCATTTCTATCCATTCTTAACTTGTCGATACATACAATGTCACTATCATTTATGATACAATTTAAGTGAGAAATAACTTTTGGTATTCAGACACTCATACGGTACCTAATCTCATGCACATTTCTGTATTGCCTTCTTAGTGAATGACCATGAATAGCCATAAAAAGGCAAATAAGGACTACAAGAAATTGTTGGCACATTATCTCCTCAAGAATAATATAATCAGTACTCGAAAGATGTTGAAGATCCATAATAACACCTAAGATTTTCATAAAAATTAGACAAAATCAATACACACAATATGAACAGAAATCTATAAATTTTATGCATAGATACTAATAGTGACGATGTTGTTCAGAAACTTTCAACCCACAAAATACTAATTAATTTGCAAGCACATTTCAATTCACCTATTTACAATAATTTGGGAACAAGAACGAAAGAAAAGAAAAAAGTTCAAACCTATATAAACCCTACACGGCTAATAGTGACGATGTTGTTCAGAAATTAACCCTACACGCTACGCCTTCTCCATAGCCAAAGAAGAGAAAAGACCGCGAGAGAAAAAGGAAAGGCGCCAAAAAGCAGAATAGCGTGAATTCTTTACCAATTCTGAAGGATGTATATAGAAACTGATGGGCAATTCAGTCATTTCGTTTCCTTGTCCAAGTATTAGTAAACCTGGGATTAGTAATCCCTAGATATCCTTGGTATTAGATAAGACCACATATGATGTATTAAGTTATCCATGTATTAGGTATGTTTGAGTTGAATTGTGTAACCAAACATTGTATTAGGGGGATTAAATTTTAATCCAAGGACTATTTTAATTAATACATCCTACCAAACGGCTCCTATGTGTATTATATTATTTAAGTACAATTAAACTTATGATATTTGGAGGAATCAAAACTCAACCTAGACTTAAAATTTAAAAAATATTAGACTTACATATTAATTGGCATAAAGATTAAGTACTTGATTATAGATTTGATGAGTTTTTGGGTCTATGCTAGATATATAGTACTATAGGTGTCGACGGACTTGTTTGCTTACAAATATTATACATTTCAATAGATTGTATTGATTTGGAAGCCCAGCGAAAAGAGAAGGCTCAAGTCCCAGAGTAATTGATTAATTATTTGACGCAAGTGCATTTCTCCACTCTCGTTAAGTGTATAGAATCGTGTATTTCTTTGTGGTATGTGTTGATGAGTAATGAGACTTGGTGATGAGTTAAATTGTTCATATTGAATGATCATAATGATGAAAAAGGGGCAATAAAAGGCAACTTGAATTATATTATGATGTGAATGATTTGAAAGGTTTATTGATTCATTGTTGATGTTGTATCACGATTGTGGTGTTGTGAATTATGCATTGATATGGAAATGGTCATCTCCTCATTAATTTGTGAACATGTCATTTGCATTGGGTGTGAGACATAATTGTGACAAGTGTTACGTGAATTGAGGAAGAATAAGGAATTAAAGAGGATGTACCATTTCGAGGGACATGCCGTGCGTCACGACGAATATTATGATTCGAGGGACGTGTCATATGCCGTGACAGATTCCATTATCGAGGATTGTGTTGCACGCCACGATAAATACATGGACATATATGTACCATGTGAATCCCGGACTGAGAGACAACGGGTGTGTATCACTATGTCACACATGCATTACCATACTTGGCATTGCATTGCATATCTTTATCATTTGTGAAACTTGTGATTGTTAAACTTGATCGTGTGTTATTGATCTATAATTGTTGGAGTGTTGTACTTATCTTGAGCTATGTGTTATGTAAATTGTGATCGACTAGGTTGTGCTAGTTTTATGCAGATTATAGTTGTGGAGATTCGGTTGGAGTAGAAGTACATGTATCCTATATTAATTAACTTTGTGTTTAGGAGTTTGCTTGTTCAGTACCGCTTTGTTTGGTACTCACATTTTGCTTCTACACTTGTGTAGGTTACGAGCCTATATCCGCATGATTATTCTATCTTCTCTCCTACGTCTGAGACTCAATGTGGATATTTTTTGAGGTAGTTACTTGTTATCTCAACGGATCCTCTTGCTCCTTATTTATTGTTCTATTCTAGAAACAATGTCATTTGAGACTCGTATTTTCTTTCAAATCAATTGTAATACTTTAGAGACTTATACACGTGACAATTAGGTTTTGTGGTTTTATTTGAGTTGATTGTGATTTATGCATTATTAGTCATTGTTAGTCTATTTTTCTTATTTTACTTCCACATTTATCGTTTTAGTTGAATTTTAAGCTGACTTGTCTTGGTGGAATAAGACATGTGTCATCACGTCCATTTTTGGATCGTGACATTGACTCTTGAAATTCTATTTGTACCACATAAATTGAGACCAAGCAAATAATAGAAAGTCTGATTGACCCTCGAATCAGTACCGCATAAATAGGGATATATGAGTAACATATATTGTTTAAAAATTATGTAGAAGTAATATAGATCACAATAATTAAAAAATTCAAAGACATGTATAAAATTAAGTTAATTCTCAAAATTTTATCAGCGTCACATAAATTGGGACAAGAAGAGTAACATATATTATTTTAAAATTAAGTAAAAAATACTAGAAAATCACAATAATTAACTACTTAAAATATCTAAAAATCAAATTAAAATTTAATTAATTCTCTAAATTCTATCCGTGTCACATAAATTAAGACAAAAAAAATAACATATATTAGACCAGTACTAGCACGAGCACTTGTGTATAGTAAATACATAATTTCTTTCATTTGTTCAT